TCTTGGCACCAGTGGAGGTTGTGTTTGGAAGGCTCTGGGGACCAAACTCCCTGGGATGCAGGAGGCCCTCTCTGCCCCTGGGTCGCCTGCCCCGGCCCAGCTCCACCACACCCTGGGGGCTCAGGAGGGGGACCTGAGTGTCAGGGGTGCTCCGGAGCCAGAGGCCCCAGGGGGTCCTTCAATTCCAGGCCAGGACAGCTCGCAGATGTGCAGCCCCTGCCGGAAGCCACATCCTTGTGTACCCCACATCTTCCAAGTGCTTTCCAAGAAACACAGTGCGAGGCCAAGGGAAAGGAAAACAAACTCTGAAAAACCCCACAGAGCTGGGAGGCTCCCTGGAGCCTTTCGGCCAGGAAGGGGCAGATGGGGGAGGCCACCAGCAGGGCCTGGACACCAGGCTCTTCTAGCTTCTCACAGCATGCAAGAGCCATGCAAGAACAGGAGGTTTTCTAGGGAAGAATCAGGGCAGCCTTGCCCTGGTTCCTTCTGGAACCCAAAGGCAGGGATGACAGAGGCTCAGCTCCATGTCCTGCACCGGGTCTACCCTTGGCTCTGCCCTCCGCCTGCCTCTGTCCACAGGGTTTCTGGGCACAACCAGGAGACATCACAGCCTTGCTGGGACTCCATCCTCCGGTCCCCCAGTGGGGGTCTGGCCCTCGGAAGGAGAGGCCTTCATTTAACAGGGGCGGTGGCACCTCAGTAAGGCACTGGGTTGTGACAATCGCTGTCAGTACGTGTTCATTTCATTCCACCATTCAGAGAGGTCACAGATGTGGGTGGACAGTGATGATGTGGACAGGAGCTAGAGGTGGGTGGAGTCCACTCTGTAGAGCATGGCATGGTTTGTGGAAGAACAGGCACTGAGAGGTGTCCTCGGGGAGCCTGCCAGGAGGAAAGGGGCACCAAGGCTGGAAGGATGGCACCTGCAGGAGCCCCAAGGTGTGAAGTAACACAGGGCATCTGGGGAAATGCAGGTCATTCCTTCGTGCGGACATCCGGGAGATGACATGCACCCTAAAGGCCCCTCTGCAGGGCTCTGGTGCCCGCCATGCACGGCAGGAGGTCAGTACACGCTGCTGCAGCCAGGGTCCTCAGGATACAAAGCCCTTGGTCATCAGGCCCTGGTCACCCACCTGTCCCCTCAGAGTGCAGACGTTTGCATGACACTGAGGGTGCGGGGCTGGGCGGGGATTGACCCTAAGAGTGGGCAGCGCCTCAGCGTGTCCGGAGCCCTGGCTGTAGTCCCCCCCCCCCCGCCCCCACCACCTCACGGAAACGCAGAGCCGAACTCATCTGGCATGTCTGTTACTAATGTCTGTCTCACTCACTGCATTGTGACAGGAGGCTGGATGGAAAAAGCAAACCCTTTCCCTGCATTGTCTTTTGATTTTTATTGAGGCAACGTCTTACTCCATTGCTCAGGATGGTCTGGATCCCTGCTTTTTTGGGGTGGGGGTCTGGGGATGGCATGCAGGGGTCTCCACCTTGGAGCTACATACCCAGTGCTTTTTAAAAAGATGTTTAATTCTGTGACAGCTTCTCACTAAGCTGCCCAGGTTGGCCTTGGACTTGCAGTTCTCCTGCAAAACCACACATGCATGTGCACGCACACACACACACACACACACACACAGAGAGAGAAACATTTATATATGATTCAAATTAATATCTCAAATTCATGAGAACAAACTCAAAAGCCCTAGGGGTAATGAGAGCCTTGTAAAGAGAATGGATAAAAACTAACTAGCAAAAGTTAATGACTTTCCCACAGACAAGACAATAACCAGCTAGAAGGTATAATAAAAAGCATCACATTCACAGTAGCTACAAGAAACGGGGAAGCCATTCGAGAGTAAACAGGGAGAAATCACAGGATCTACACAAAGAAAGCTCAGAATTACTCTACAGAGGGACCCTGAGAATTCGCATCCTCCAGGTGTCCTGGTGGGGGAGAGCAGACAGCATGCAGCATGAAAAGACACTTACTGTCCTTGAATTAATCTATAAAGTTGATGTGACATCTACAACCATCCCTATGCTCTTTGCTTTGAAACTTTAGATAATATTAGGTCTCATCTGAAGAGTACATATAATACAGCTTCAATAACTCGGAGAAAGAAGTGTAACACTGAAGACTAGCATACTTAGGTAGAAGCACGTTACAAAGCTACGCTAGTTAAAACAGGCTGGTGGAGGGATGGAGTAGACATCACTGGTCTTGCCTGCTGCCCTTGGATATTATGATAGCCCTTTGGATTCAGGAAGGATCATTTCAAAATCTGTGGTTGCTCAAGCCCCTTATAAAATGGCATATTATTATCATATAACCTACACACATCCTCCTGTATAGTTTATTTAAAATTATTCTGGTGCTGGGGATTGAACCCACTTGAACATGGTAGGCAAGTGCTCTACCCAGAGGCACACCCCAGGCCTCTCATGTACTCTACATGATCTATGGATTACTGATAACATACAACACAGTGTGATTGCTATGCAAATAGTTGTTCTATGTCCTGTTCAGAAATAATGAAAAGCTTATATGTGTTCAGCACAAATGCAGATTTTTTCTGAATATATCTGATCTATAGTTGTTATAATCCACAGATAGAGGACACACATAAACGAAGGGCCAATTTTGTAGTGTGTGTGTGTGTGTGTGTGTGTGTGTGTGTGTATGAAGATTTGGAAAAGCAGCAAGAAGATAAACCAGCTAGAGGCCCTAGAACTGGAAAGAAAGAACAGGGATGAGTTTACTTTTCTGTTGTTGTTTCTCTCATATATCCAGAACTGGCTGCTAGAGGAGCCTCTCAGGCCCACGTGCACACACACACACACACACACACACACACACACACACACACACTGTGCTTCAGCGAGCAACTACAAATACACTTAAAGAAAAACTCAGTATCAACAAAGAAATACAAAACATACGGAACTAAATGGAGGTACTAGAACTGAAAAATACAAGAAAGGAATGAAAAATGTCAATGAATAGGCTCAACAGGGTGACAAGAAGACAGAGAAAGAGTGGGCTTGAAGGTAAATTATCCAGTTTCACCCACACAGAGACAAGGAGCCAAGAAAAAACTAACAAAAGATCTCACCTTTGTGTTATCAAGAATCCCAGAAGAGAAATAGGATTCAGAAAAATAATCAATGGTTTAAAAATCCCCACTGTGCCTGCCTGGCAAGTGCGAGGTTGTGAGCTCAATCCCCAGTACCAATAAACAAATAAATAAATCTTAAAACATCCCCCAACGTGCCTAAGGAGTTTAAACTTACTGATTTAAGATGCTGAGCAATCCCCAAACGGGAAGAAAAAACTCTTTAAATAAACCCACACCAAAAAATATCATAATCAAACTTCTGAAAATTATAAGTGAAGAAAAACATTTCACAGAGAAAAGGCACCTTGCCTGTTGGAGACAAGCAATTCAAACACAGTGAACCAGAAACCATGGCAACCCGAAGGAAGCAGAAAGATTATTTTTTTAGTGTTTGAAGCAGATCTGCAACTCTAGGTCAGTGGAAACGTCCTTCAAGACGAGGGAATCAACAGTCTTCCTCAGAAGAAGGAAGACTCAGGGAATGCGTTGCCAGCAGGTCTGTCCTAAAAGGAAGCTTAGGAAATTCTCCGAAGTGCAGGGAATGATGGAGAGGGACAGAGGAACATCGCAGAGGAAGGAGGAGCACAGCAAGCCAAAGCAAAGTGGGGAAGTGTGATAGGCCTTCTTCTGAGTTTTTGAACTTATACTTGATAAAGCAAAAGTGACAGTCGTCTAATGTGTTTCTCAATTCATATACAGGGAGCAACTAAGACACAAATATTATAAACACTGGAGCATAAAGGTGCTTAAGATTTCTACAGCTCACCTGACTTGGGGTAGTTGCTATGGAAAACTGCTTAGCAGTTTCCTAAAGAAACATCTTAACTGACATTTATCTTATGACCCAGGAAGTGCCCTCTGGGGAACTTATGTCAGAGAGATGAAATTCTGTGTCCACACAAAAACCTGCAGAGAAGCTTTAGCTGTAACAGCCCCAAACTGAAAACAACTAACGTGGCCAGCAGCAGATGAAGGACTACAACAGCCACGCCATATTCAGACCCTAAAATATGACTTAGCAATAGGAATAAAGGCACTGTGGACACTGCAGCTGGCTGGACCGTGCCCACTTGAAAAGCAGAGATAAGTGCTCGGTAATTCATGAGCAGCGTTTCACTCAAGCCTGGAGGGAGGCAGGCGTTTCCAGAGAGCTAGGACCAGGGGTCAGCACCCACGAGGGCTGCTGCCCAGAGGATGTGCTGACCACACTTCGCCGGACACCAGGATCAGGGTCTGGTGTAGAAGTGAGACTTACACTCACGAGGAGGCTGGGCGAAAGACAACCACTCCTTGCAGATGGAGAGACACACGCACGCACCCCGCAGGACTCGTGTGCACACATGCATCCTACACAAGAGCACGAATGCCCCCGCATGCATGTACACACGCACCTTACAATACGAGCACATGGACACAGGCGTGCGTGAGACACACAGACCAATTTAACCCTGTCCCTGCCGGCCACAGCCCCCAGACGGAGGCCAGGGCTGCCCAGCCTGCCTGTGCGAGCTCTGTCCCTGCTCTTGCAGGTGGAGTCTGATTCTTCCCCAGCAGCAAAGCTGTGCCCCTGGTCTCTGCCCATGACGGGAAGCAGGCACGCAGCACCCCAGGTGCTCTGTCTGGAAAAGCCAGAGCAGGCTGCCCCCTTCCACTCTATCCCTCCTTCCCTCGTGAGGCACTGGACACCACAGAGAACCACAGGCCTGATTGAGTGCTGGCAGCGCAAAGACACCCTGCTTGCTTCACTGGGAAGCCCCGTTGCCGCCTGGCTGCAGACCCAGCTGTGCCTGGCCCTGCTGGAGGGAAAGATGACAGAGCACCGGACAAAGGAGGACACTCTGAACCCGGCCTCGGACACGGCCTGATGTGAGTCCAAAGAAAACTACATTTTCCCCTTCAAGTTTAATCGCAAACATTTATTCAGGGTTGTTATTCATTCAGCTTCCGGTTTCAGGCTGGCTTCCGGGCCAAGGCCTTCCCCTGACACCCGTCAGCCCTGAGGATGTGGCCTTAGGCGGTACCGGGTGGAGCTGCAGGAAGTCAGCTGTGTGGTGGCCCTGCGTTCGGAGGGCTCTGCTCCCCCATGTTCACTGGGTCCAGATCCAAAGGGTTCAGCTGTGTAGCTGCTGTGTGATGTTGGTCAGGTTACTTTAACCTCTCTGTGTCTAGGTCTCACTGTCTCTAAGATGTGGCTGATGCCAGCACCTGCCTCCAGGTGATCAAGTGAGACAGAAGGCGTGAAGTTTGAGATTTTTGCGTACTCAGTAAGCGTTGGCTATGATCAGTACTGAGATCAGGATTATTATTATCAGGTTAGCTCAGCCTTCCTGTCTAGGCTCTTTCTCTTAACACAGACTTATAATCCTGCCCTAAATGTCACCCCTCCTGGCCACACCTACCCACCACTCCCTTTACTAGCAGGGAAGCAGCCTGGTCAGGACTCCTGAACCTGACGTGGTGCTGCTGGTCCCTGGATGCCTGGCCCAGCCTGCAGCCCTGACCCACTGCAGCAGCCAGCCTGCCTGTCCAGCCATCCCTGGGCCCACAGGGACCCTCATCACCCAGCCTAGGCCAAGTCCCACAGCCCCTCTGCACTCAGCAGGTTATAGGGGAGACAGACAGAAACGAGGACAGGCCTGGTCCTCCTGCTGCTTCCGCTCCCTTGTGTCAGGAGGGAGGCTTGCCGCGTGCTCAGCCCTGCCCAGGGCCTGGCTGTGCAGGACTGCAGGGGCCCAGGCACAGCGTGGGACTCGCTCGCCCCTGTGACTTGGGAATCAATGTCCCCAGGCAAAGCCCTGAGTGTGCAAAGGTGATGCTCAGGAAGCTGTGCAGACCAGGGCAGCTGCAGAGCAGGTCCTGCCCCCGCTGTCACTCTAGTCCAGGCCTCCGTACTCAGGGGCACCCCGGACACGCAGACCCTCCTCTCAGACCCTCCAGGAGTCACAATCTATTCAACCGTCCTGCTACAGATCCAGGCGAGTGCTGACCGTGCTGCCACCCTGGCTGCTGCAACCTGGCCTCTGATCCTGGTTACTGCCGGTGCCTAGCAGGGTGACTCTGTCTACTGTGAGCCAGGAAAGCTGTTAGAGTGGCTTTGGGACAAACGCCACCACAGCACAATGTCCAGATTCCAGCAGCAGTTCACGGGGAGTTTGTGCCTGAGCCTGGTGATGTACACAAAGCGGTCATGTACTCTTTTTGCAGCTGCAGCCTGGGCAGCCCAAGACGCAGTGGCCAGCATCTGGCCAGGGCCTCCACACAGCATCATCCTACTGCAGAGCGTGGAAGGGCCCAGGAGCGATTTTTTGTAACAACGACAACCACAGCAACCTGCCCCTTGGGCAGAGACCCGGGGCCTGGGCCTCTTTCCTCCGCCCTCTCAACACTGCCCAGCTGGGAATTCAGCTGGGGATGCATTCGAGTCACAGCGCTCAGCACAAGCGGGCTCGGCGAAGGCTGCTGCAGCCTGGGTGGTGGCTCTGGGTCGGCTGCGGGGACCTGGGTGGGTGCACCTCCTGGTGATGCTCCTCTTGGATTTGGAGATGCTCCTTCCACTCCGGACAGAGGCTTCTAAGCGCACAGAGGGATGGAGGGGTCGCTGTGTCCCTGTGGCCCCTCACTCAGCTGATCCAGCAGAGAGTCCCAGAGAGCTGGGGACCAAGAGGCAGAAGAGGCCCCTTGTAAGAAGGACCTGGGGAGCTAAGTGACCTTCTTCACACAGCAATTAAGATTTAGACCCTAAGAGCCGCCCCCCATCTTCCGGGGCTCTTCATGGCCCCCCAAGCTGAGGGACGGTCTCTGCTTGCTCACACCTGGTGGAAGGCAGGAACCGATCAGTCTCGCTTGCGACAGCCCGTGCTCCTTCCTATGGCATTCACTCCCCAAAGTCCCTTCTGGCACCAGGGTGATCGGCTGCAAACACTTCTTAAAACAGCCTTGTCTCGAGTGCCATGTGCTCAGCAGCTCTGGGCTGCCCACTGGAATCCCAGGCCAGTGCTGGCAGGGTGAGGAGTCCTTTAATCTGGGTCCCACACGTCCTCTGCTTTGCCCCTACCCTGAGAGAGGCAGTAGAATGTGGAAATCCATAGGCAAAGAGCATTTAATGCTCTTCTCTGGAGTGGTACAGAGAGAGGCCAGTGCCAGGGCGAGGACGAGTGACCCCAGTGTCGCTCAGGAAGTCACGGGTGGTGGTGGTCCATGTGTTATGCGGGTCACCACTAATGGCCCTGGACTCTTCCTCAGGATAAAAACTCCTCAAAGAAAGCTGAACTTACACAGAGAAGGTTCAGGCGTGGTGCTGCTTGCTGGCCACCTTGCAGGGTCCCCCTTCTCGGCACTCTGGATTCCACACCGTAAAGTGCAGGTTACAGTCTCTCCCCCAGCTCTCCCAGGCCCGAGACCCATGAGATCCTGCAAGTACAAATACCCTGCTGCAGGGGCTCTGCCAGCGTCTGAGGGCTCCTCTTGCACCCTGGGACACCAAAGCAGTAAAGACAGAAAGAAAGCCAGAGAGAAGAGCTGAGGTGAGAACTGGGCTGGGGGTCAGGCATGTCCACTTCCTGGCACCACTCAGATGCTGTGGGCACGTGATCTCCTGCTCTGTAAACTGGACACAATGACCACCTGGCAGGGCTCTCGAGAGAACCAGAGAGGACAGCGTAAATCCACCTGCCAAATCCAAAGCACAGTGCAGAGCCCGGCTATGTCCCAGCCACATCCCCGCCTCAGTGTCCTCCCCTGCCCAGGGAGGGTCCTGCTGACCCCAAGAGCTGGATGGAAGTCAAATGCGGAGTCAGCCGTGGAGAAGCCAGCGCAGGCCTGGCATGCAGTGGGCGCTCACCTGGTGTGGAGGGGGTCTGGGTGGCAGCAGTGGTGGGGCGGGGGCATGGAGGCCCATCTGCAGTTTCTTTGAGGCCTCTTCTTGGGGTGCACCCTCAGTGTCTACCTCTCCATGTGGAAGAGCTCGGCACTGGCTGTCCCCACCGTGCAGCGGCCATGCATCCTCTGCGCAGCTGCCCACAGGTAATGGAGGTGGGGACTCAGCCTGGACAGCGCCTCTGTCTTTGAGCACAAGCCCAGGGTGTACCCTCTAGTGCCTCTCCAGCTCAGCAGGTGCCCTCTGCCCTTCTGTCCACAGCTCAGGGAACTCCCGGGGGCTCTTGCTTCTGGCCTACTTCTGTGCTAGCTGTGCTCAGCTCTGCAGCAGAAAGCCTGGGCCTGGGGCGGTGCTGGGGCCCTTGCCCTGCACACACAGGGGCCTTGGCTAATCCCTAGCAGGGCCAAAATCAACAACCACAGCAATCATCAACCTTTCGGAGTCGGCTGTTTTCTGCATGTAAACAGTTGTCTTTATATACAAAGACCCGGAAGGGTGGTGTTGTAGTCAGGGGTTGTACACAGAGCACAGTTCAGATCAGGACATGGAGTTTAAAATATTTTTATAATGGTCACTGGAAGTTAACACAGGAAAATGCAGGAAATCTATCCACACCACCAAGGACAGAGATTATTTAGTCAAGAGCCTAAACCCCACAGCAATGTCCCACATGAGTCCAGATAAAAACCCAGAGCTCAGGACAATGCCTCCCACGAGTCCAACTGGAGGCCCAGAGCCCACAAGAAGGACTCAGACCAGTCTCTTTTATGGATCCATGCCAGAAGACCCAAGGGTCAGCAGTGGAAGCCAGAAAGTCTATGCCAGCAGGATGAAGGAGCTGTGCTAGTGGGATGAGGGTTCTACACTGGAGCCGAGAAGTCACACTCACAACAAAGAGTGGGACTGTCCTGAAAGGCACCACAGCTGTCCTCAGTGATATGGAGGCCCTGAGCTCCTCCGAGGACAAGCACAGTCCAATATGTGCCAGGAAGCAGCATGACGAGTTCATCCTGGAGACCAAGCAGCACGTGTCTTCCCCTCTGGAGCCAGGAAGCAATGCTCGATGTGAGGACCAGAGCTTCTCCAGGAGAACCAACAGCTCAGACAGCAACTCATAGGAGAACCCACAGTGCCTCCTTAACGCTTCAACCCTCCACACCTCCCTTCTTCTCCACCTATTTATCCTGGCAACTCTCCTCAGGTGGAGCATCTTCTCTCAGTGCATGCTGATGTAATCCAGCTAGCGTTAAGTTCACCACCAGTTCTCAACCCATAACAGGCGGAATCCCCCAGAGCCCCTCGAGCCAGCCAGAAACTCTGCCCTTGTGTCTCATCTTCTGCTCTGTGGCCTCGGCCATGTATACCCCCGAGAGTCGTGCTGAGCCGGGCCTCTCTGGGCCCTGCACTCCCTACCTCGTGACTCGTGACAGTCACGATCCACGCCGCCTCTTTGTCCTCACAGATGGTGCTCCTGATGGCGCCCTAGTAGGAGGGCCCAGCCATGAGCTTCTCCTGCGGCTGCTAGCAGCCGGCTCCCATCTGTTCACGCCCTAGTGCTGAAGGCAGGACAAGGATCCCACTCTCAGCAAGACGCAGCCTTTGAGGCCACTGTCGGGGCAGTCAGCACCACTTAGCCCTCGCCCTCCTGCAGCGCGTGCCCTCCCCCCTACCCGGCTTCCCAAGAGGGGCATGACTGAGCCCACCACTTAAACACAGCCTGTCGATGGGCCTGTTCCTGCAGGGAATATGTGCTAAAGGCAGATCTGATAAGCGACTGTTCCCCAAAGCACACAGAGAACTCTTCAAATGCAGCGCTAAGAGAACAACACAAAAAAACGAGGTAGAGGACCCTAGTAAGGCAATGAGGTGAGACCTCAACAAAGAGACGGAGATTCACCCAGGAGCGCCACCCCACGGGGCGCATCTCAGGACAAGGACGAGGCATGCTGAGAGCTTGGGGTGGCGCCTGGGAATTCACAGTGCAGCCATTCTGGGAGTCAGTGTCCTGCTTTCTCGTAAAAGCGTATTTTTTGCCATTGATCCAGCAATCAAGCGCTGCGCACTGACCCGAGAGGAGCTGAAAACGTAAGTTCACACGGGAGCCAGGAGCTGGTGGCAGCTCCACTCCTCATGCTCCAGACTTGGGAGTGACCAGACGGCCCGTGGCAGACGGATGGAGAAAGATAACGGAACACGCAGCAGGCAGGCGGGTGCTGCTCAGCTCTGAGAGGAACCGACCACCAGGGCAGGAGGGGTGCGGAGGAAGCCTCAGGGAGAAGATGGCCTGTGATGTAATCCAGGCAAGTGACATTCCAGAACAGGTCAAACTAGGGAGCCCACAAAAGCAGCAGAGCACAGAGATGCTCAGGGCAGTGACACCACTCTGGGTGATCTCATCACTGTGGCACGCTGTCACCCAGAAATGGAGAACCAACGGTGAACCCAAGCGTAAACACCGCCCCCCGCATGACACTGGCAAGGCAGGTGTCTCGCTGGAGCGAATGCAGCTCTCTGGTGGGGCTGGTGCTGGCAGCGTGGGCAGCCCTGGGGGGCAGCGTGCACATGGGAACTCCGTGCCCGCAGCCTAATTTTACCAGGAACCTAAAACTGCTCTAGATATAGAGAAACCTTGGAGCTGCCCGCTTTGGTCTCTTCTGTCCATGGTTCCCGCTCTGCAACTTTGGAAAGGAAATTGCAGTCACCAAAGATGGGTGCCCCCTCCTCCTGTGACCCTGAAAGCTGTGGGGATCCAGTGGGCGACCCACGCAACTGTCACGGGAGACGCAGGCCAGACCCACACTGTGTGCTGTGGCCACGCCGGCCTCATGCAGGAGCTGACCACCCTGTGCCTGCTCCCTAGTGACAGCGTCACTTCCTCAGTGCTCACAGTGATTTACATTCCCACCAACCCCCAGAGCAAGCGTGCCAAGTGGGTATTATTACTGCTGCTTAACAGATACAAAATCTGTAATTGTTCAGGATGAGTAAGTAACTTGATCAGCAGACATAAAACAACAGATCTGAGATATAAATTCTGGTGCATGAAAGCTACAGCTTTGCCTGACTGTTTCTCTTTGCTGTTGTGAACTGTGCGATGAGCTGTTCTAATGAATAAGAGAAGGAAGAAGAGCAGATTCCACCCCCAGATTCCAAGACCCAACCCAAAAATGGGCATCTGAGATGAATACACACTTCTAAGAAGAAATCCAAACAACAAATAAATATATGGGAAACTATTCAACATCACTGGTCATTCAAAAAATGCTAATTAAAACAACACTGAGATTCCATCTCACTCCAGAAAGAATGACTGTCACCAGGAAATCAACCAGTAACAAATGCTGGAAGGGCTGTGGGGAAAAGGAACCTTCTGCACTGTTGGTGGGGGTGCAGACTGTGCAACAGGTATTGGGAATAAGGGCTAAAATGTACGATAGATATTGCAAAATGGGGCCACCATTGTGGAAATCAGCGTGGCAGTTCCTCAAAATACTAGGATTAGAGATTCCATTCTACCTTGCTACTCTTCTGGGTGTCTTCCCAGAAGAATTATAAGCATCATACCGCAGCAGTATATGTGCACCCGTGTCTACAGCAGCACGGTTTGTAACAGCCAGATCTTAGAAACAACCTAAATACCTACCAGCAAAGAAATGGATGAAAAAGATGTAGTCTCTTTATACAATGAAGTACTACTCAGCTATAGAGAAGGCTGCAACCTGAGATCATATTTGTAGGTGAAATAAATCAGACACTTGTATAAACATTGTATTGTCTCCCTTGTGTGAGAAACTGACAGCATGAATAAAGTCTAAAATGTACAACAGACACTGTGAAATGGAAAAAAGATTGTTCCAAAAGGACAAAGGAACTAGGATGGTGAAAGAGGGAAGGACAGTGGGAAAAAGGGAAAAATGCAAATCGGTTACACCATCAGTGTCTGTTAGCTCACTAGAAAGGAAGGTTTGTGCTAATATCGGCTGCAGAAATTTTTACATCTTGTACCCTGAGCAACTACTTTAAAGATAACAACATGTATTATTGTTATTCTCCTATTATTCTGCTACAAGTTTTGTTTTACCTTTTTTCCATAGAATAAAAATTATTAGAGTATAAAAAATGATCCATTCTATGTAAATGGACTCCAGTGATGCCAGGTTCTTGGTCGGAACTGCCACATCCATACTCAGTGTCAACATGAGGCAACAAATGTCTTCATCCATTTCCTGTGCCTATAACAGAATGCCGGAGACTGGGTACTTTATAAAGAAACAGGTTGGCTTTGGCTCAGAGTTTTGTTCAAAGTCCAAGACTGGGAGACCACAAGTCATGCTGGAAAATGGAGGTGTGGGTCCCTGGAGAGAGAGATCTCACTGACTCCCACAAGATGGCACGAATCCCTTCACGAAGGCCCCAGCCCCATCTCCCAAGCCCTGTCACTGGGCTTCACATCTCACCAGCTTCCTGAGCCCCAGGGTGAGCACTCAGGGTGAGGGGCAGCTTCCTGCTTCCTCCTGGCCGGCAGATGCTCATGGCTCATGGTCTCCAGGCCAGGCACAAGTCCTGTGTATGCTGAGCCCCGAGGGTGTTTCAGCAGCTCTGACCCCCTCACAGCGCAGGGACACAGACACAGCCCCTCTGGTGACACAGGAGGAGCAGGGCCTGCTGGCAGCACCTGCCTGCCTCTCACAAGGTGGTCCATTCCCCTCCCCAGGTCGAAGCTGCTTGCTTCCTTGACCTGAGCCCATGGCAACTCAGGCTCCTGGGTGTCCACTCGAGGAGACCCCTGAGTTTCAGTCTAGAATTCTCTTCTCTGGTCCCTTGCCTGGACACCCTTAGGTCTCCTAGCCTGTCCCCCACCAGGGCGCCAGAGGGACCATCTGAGCCTCTGCCATGGTTCCCGTAGACCACTGGGCAACACCAGGCACCTCGGCCTCCCGGGCATCTCCTTTCTTTTTTTTTTTTTTTTTTTTAATGGATTACACATTGTCATCTTAGAAATAATTGTTTAAGTCACAAAATTAAAGCTTGTAAAGTGAACATTCCATCAATGATACTGCAAACAGTTCTGTTCAATGATCCAATAAGACTCGGTGATATCATTTTCTATCTTATACACTTAAATATACATGCAGTTATATAGTATAGAGCACTTTCTTTTCCTCTCTTTTGTACAATGACTATTACACATTTTGGGTTTCATTGCTCCCATGGTTCTTATTACTTTTTTGGAAGAGAGTAAAACCAAATGTGATATAACAGAACAGAATCGGTCAAGTCAAAAGGGTGGACATAATAGATAATGTGAAAACATAATACAAGGTGATCAACAATGGTTACCATAATGCCTCCCGCTATCTCTAATAGAAT